CGGGCGGGCACGTGCCGTTGGTGTACTTGGTGTGGTCGGTCGCATTGTACGGAAGACACGTCTCGTCCGGGAGGCCGTAGACACGCATGAACTCGTACACGTCCGCGGGCTCGCCACCGCCACAGCCGTCCGAGAGGCCGTGGCCCGGCGCGCAGTTGAGGAAGCTCTGGCGCCCGAGCATGACGTCGGGGCCGCGGATGCCCAGCTTGTGGTTCATGATCTTGATGCGGTCGTTGGCGCTTGAGAGCGACCCGTGCGCAAAGCACGACCCGCAGTACTGCGGAATGTGCTGGTTCCACGACGTGGTGCACATGCCTTGCTCGCACCAGTCAAAGTGCTTTGGCAGCAGCGCCAGGTCCGTCTCGTCCTGCGTCCACGCGTGGTGCTTGGTCGCCGACCGGTGCTTCCACGTCCGGTGGCACTTGGTGCAGTCCGTCTTCTTCGCTGCGACAACGACGCCCAAGAGGGCCGCGATCGCCAGAGCTCGCCACGCCACCATGCTGCAAATCCAAATATGAGACTTCTGGCGCGGTGGGCGCACTTCAACTAGGATTCCGTTCAAGGGACTTGGCCCTATACGGGATTCAGTACAGCTCGGCGACAACGACTTCAAGTGCATACATATCTCAAGTACGTGTGATCCCGAGTTTCATTAAAAGGGATCGCACGAGCACCACACAAGCGGATGTCGAACTCGCGACAAGATTCAGCCTGGTCCGAAGTCGGCTATGAAAACACAATATCACATTTGCGTTGATGGATTCGAGCGACTTGGCGACTGACAAAGCCCATCGACGCTTCCTATACTTCTCGACCGCTTCGTGCCAACGAGATGCATGTGCCCCATCGGGACGCAGGGCCTGAGACTGCGCGAGGTGCGTATGTACCCTTGGACTGCGGGACCAGCTTACCATACTATAGTTTTCCTAGCCGACACTTGATAGCTGCTTCGTGCCATCGTTGTGCCAGGGTCATGAGATGTGTACTAGTTTGGAGACTCGACTCGTCGGCGTAACTACCTGCACTGCGCGCAGTGATGTCCTGGCGACGGTCGTGCGATCTCGATCTTGCAAATACCTATGAATTTGTATTCTATACAATGCCGCAGTGAGGCGTCGGTTAGGAACGCCATTTGCGCGATTCGGCCGGTGCGGAAAGAATGTATTGCGGCGGGGATGAGCTCAATGCGATTGTCTGCGACTTTGGGAGCTACCGCGCCCGCATGGGCTTCGCGGGCGAGGACGCAGCCCGGTACGTCGGTCCTCGAAGCGGTATCTTGAAGGATGACACGAATGGCGTCATGACGCCCGACGGCCACGTGGCCTCCATGGCCAAGCTCGAGGCTGCGCTCGACGAAGGCTACGAGCGGCTCGGCGTCGAGTCGTCGGGGCAGCACCCAGTGCTATGGAGCGAAAGCAGCTTCCACAACGTTTCTACGTCCTCCAACGAGAGCAAGAGCGATCGCGAGGCCCTCGCGGAGCTCTTCTTTGAAAAGTACGACGCGCCCGCGTACTTTGTGTCCAAGGCGGCCGTGCTCACGTGCTTTGCGAACGGCCGAAGCACGGGCCTCGTCGTGGAGATGGGCCATGGCGCGACCTCGGTCGTGCCCGTCCTCGAAGGCTACGTCCAGGCGCACAATGCCATTCGGCAGCCCGTCGGCGGCGCTGCCCTCAATGCGTTTCTGCGCGCCCGCCTCGACGACAAGATCGCCAAGCTGCCGTCCGCGACCGCATTCGCGTCGCTCCCGCTGCACGACATCAAGGAGACGGTCTGCCGCGTCTCGGAGACGCTCTTTGACGAGAAGGCCAACGGGCAGATCCCGCAGATGCCGTACGAGCTCCCCGACGGCACCCAAGTCGCGTTCGGCACCGAGCGCTTCTGCGTCGCGGAGCGCTACTTTGCGTACGACACTGCGGCGTCGAGTCGCACGTCGAATGCTGTCGACATGTCGTCGGGCATCTTTGTCCCGACCATGATCTGCGAGGGCGCGGCCAAGGGCGACGCCGACACGAAGAAGGAGCTGCTGCAAAACATCATTTTGACCGGCGGCTCGTCCTGCTTTGAGAACATGCCGACGCGCCTCGAGCGCGAAGTCTCCGCCATGGTTACGCCGTACAAGGTCAAGCTCATCGCGGCCGCGCCGCCCGAGCGCAAGCTCGGCGCGTTCCTTGGCGGTTCCATCCTCGGGTCGCTCGGCTCGTTCCACGAGATGTGGATCTCCAAGACTGAGTACGCAGAGCACGGCGCGTCGCTCGTCCAGAAGAAGTGTCCCTAAGCGAGGAATGATAGCCAGGCTCGATTGCTCTCGATAACCTCTGACAGAAAACACAGTGACAGGGCTCGTGCGTCTACTGCCTTCGCCGCCACGGCCAGTGGGCCCCTGCGGCTGCTGCGAGATCCCGAGGTGGATCATTTGAATTTGAATTTGATGGTATTGTTTTGGCGGCAAGCCGTGGGTGGCACATCCGGATAAACGGACTTGACGAAATATGCAGCCCGAGATCGAGCGGGAGATGCGGCGGATCCGCAACGCGATGCGGGCGCTGGACGCCAACGTCAAGAAGCTCGCGGCCGTCAACAACCACATCGTGACCTTCAACAGCCGCTTCGGCGGCCTCATGACGGGCATCTCGCTGCAGCAGTCCTGCATCGAGCCGCCGAAGAAGAAGGCGCCGCCGCCGTCCAAGATTCCAGTCCTCGCGCCTGTCATGAGTGCCAGCCCCACGACGCCGACGGACGCGCCGAGACCAAAGAAGGCGGCGAAGTCTGCGCCCAAGCCGCCGCCATCCCGCACCTGGAACTGGCCCAAAGGTACCTCGTTACCTCTCCGCCCGTCCTTAGCATCGTCATGGCCATAGGCGTGCGGTCCAAGATCCCCAAAAAGTACCAGACGCCGTCCGAGATGAACAAGGTCGAGCGCATCCTCTTTGTCCTCGCCGACTCGCTACGGGGCATGTACGTGCGATCACTTGTCGTCCGCTTCACAACTTGGACGCTAGGGCCATTGGCGACCTCGTCAAGGCGACGCAGGTGACGGTCATCCAGTGCAAGGAGATCCTCCAGACGCTCATGAAGCTCGAGCAGATCAAGCGCAAGCGTGAAAAAGAGGTATGGCGCTGCACCGACCCCTTCTTGGGATCTCACATTATTCTGTATGTTTTGCTGGATCCAGGGCTTTATCTACTGTCGGGCATAATACACACACGACGATCTCGTCTACCCCTCGTCGTCGTCGTCGTCGTCACGGGTCGCATCGGGCGGCGTCTCGGTCGACTTGCCAATCACCACGTCGGCAAAGCTCAGGGACCGCGACGGCGACAAGGACGTGTAGGCGACGGCGCCGTCGTCGAGCACGGGCTTGGTGAGGAGATCGTTCACGCACGCGCTGTGGCGGCGCTTGGGCTTGTGCTTGTCCTTGCTCTTGGAGGCCGACGTCACCGTGCGCTCGCGCGGCGTGTGGCGCACGGGCGACGCCAGCGCGGTGGCCGCCTCGAGGACCAGTGGGGGTACGTAAAGCACTTCCACTTGGGCTCGGCCGTGCACGAGAGAATGCTGCGGAGCAGGTTGGTTTGGTGCAGCGCGACGCCGCCGACGTACGGCGACGACGGCAGCGGCGTCGGCTCGGTCAGCGTCACGGCTGCATTCGCGAGCGCGCGGCGGATCTGCATGATGCGAAAGCAGTTGCGCCCGACGTTGTTGGCCGGTCGGAGCGGGTCTTCAATGTACACCGGATCAAACTTGTGCGGGTCGTAGTCGTACGTCGCCCAGTTGTCGCGATGGTGGAGGTGCTGGCGACGGGACCCGGGCGACGACAAGTTGAGGTTTTCAAACTGCACGTGCTCCATCTGCACCGCGTGCCAGCCCGGCGCGACCGGGCCGTACTGGTGGTGCTCGCGGCTCAAGAACGAGCGCGTTGCGACGCTAATGCCGGTCGCGCGCGGGTCCAGCTTGTTGCCGTAAAAGTCCATAAAGCCCAATAGCATCGTGCCAAAGTCTGACGCGCTCTGCGCCGAGACCGACTGGTTGCACTGCGTCGCGACGGTCGCCTCAAAGCAGTTGCCGCCGGCAAACTCTTGCAAGAAGCGCGTGACGAGCAGCAAGAGGGCGTACGACGAGAGGCCCCCAGTGTACGCGACGCCGAGTCCGCGCTCAATGATGAACGTCTTGAGGACGAGCATGAGCGGCGTCAGCGCCGGGAGCTCGTGGACGAACGAGTGCACGAGGTCGTTCGTGGCGAGTCCGTTGTGCCCCGGGCCTTCGAACGAAATGTCGAGCCGCACGTTGTACGGCGACGTCGTCAGCAATGTAATGATCGGAATCGACGCGTTCGGAATCGTCTTGACCGACTCGGGCACGACCCAAGGCTCGGTGCGCAGCTTGCGCGCGAGGTGCTGCTGCCACGTCTCTTTGATCGCGTTGCGGCCTTCGAGGACACCAGGGGCCTCGGCCGGCTCGTCGCGCCGCACTTTGGGCAAGCAAATCACCAAATCACCAAGTCCAGATCGCTAACATGCATCGTAAGGACAGCACGCTCTTTGGTCGTACCTGGATGGAAGCGAGAGGCCTGTGACAAAGGACCCGTACGGCCGCACCTGCGCCCGCGGCCAGAGCGCTTGGACGGCCGAGACGCAGAAGCGACGCACGGCCGTGTGGGCGACGAGGCGGTGCTGTGTCTCGGCTTGCAGCTGCGATACGAATTCGCAAATGTCCCAGTGCAGCTTGCTGCGGGGCGGCAGGAGAGGGACGGACACAAAAGGAGCTGGCTCGGGCGTCGGGACGACGGGCGCCTGCTCTTGCTTCCACTGGGTGAGCTCGACCCAAGGTCGATTGGAGCTCGGCCACCGTTGCTTGCAGCGCCTCCATCTCGGTCGTCAGCGCGACCACGTTCTATATCGTGCACATGACGTCATGCAGACAAGTGGATGTCTTGCGTACACTGGCGTACTCGTCGCACTGCCGCTGCAGCGCCTCGAGGCGAGTTGCCTGCTCGTCGGGCACCGTTGTCGGCGTCGGGGACGTGCTCGCATCGATGTAACACCGGGACGTCGGTGCAGGGACCTCGGCGCGCCACACCGTGCGGTCTTTTGGATACGTGGCATCGTCGTCGGGCCGCCACCCGAACGCACTCCACTCTTCGCGGCTGCCAGAGGACTGCGAGAGCACCGACGACGGAAGGTACCACTCGCACGCCGGGTCGTCGGTCGGCCCAGGAAAGTAGAACGTGGCATTGGGCGTCGGCGACGGCTACGGACAACGATTGTTATTGGAATTGGAGCAGAGCATGCTACCAGCGAGAACGGTGCGGCGAACGCGTCTTTAAAGTCGTTGGACTCGTCTTCAATAAAGTAGTGCTGGTAGCGCATACTCGGCTTCGGCGGCATCAGAAAGGTCGACATGTCCAGCGGTGCGTCCAATGCCGGGTTCGTTTCAATGGAGACGCACCGGCGCCGGGGCGGCGTCACGGGCACTTGGTCCAGGTTCAAGAGCAAGAAGCCCGGCATGCGCTCGTCGCCGCTGTGCAGCATCGGTGCTACCACCTTCTTCTTCTTCTTTTTCACCCGCTTCGGCTTTGGTGGCGCGGGGGCCAGCGCAACGACACGCTCGACAAGGTCGTCGAGCACTTGCTTGACGATGGCCTTGTCGCGCTGGGTCTGTTTGAACTGCCGACGCATCTCGGCGTGGACAAGTCCAAGGCTCAGCGAGTGGAGTTCCTTCTCTCGTTTCTTCTCTTTGGCCTGGCGCTTGTGCTCCTTGCGCTTGCGCTGCTTGGCCGAGAGACTCGTTGCGGTTGTCGTCAACGGTACTGGCACCAACGACGCTTCGAGGAGCCCTGTGCACGCCGTCTGCAAGTGCTCGGCCCACAGCATCTTGATGAGTGCAAACTGCGGTCGCGCGCCGGCCTCAGTGAGTGTACAGCTAAAGATGGCTTCGGGCGTCATGATGGGAGCAGGTGCCGGCTGCATGACCTCGGCCAAAAGACTCAGCGACGCTCGCAACGCTGGCCACGAGCGCCCGGCAAAGTCGTGCAGGAAGGTCCTTGTGTCTCGCTGCACGCCGAGGAGCACGGTTGCCTGTGCGCTGGCATCGGTCGCGACCCACTGCGCAACGAGGTGCCGCTTGGCGAAGAGCCCGATCGGTGGCACCGACTGCGTCTTGAACTGGCGCCAAATATGAAGCTCCTGCGACACGACCCGTCATTGCGAGGTGTGTTTGCGTCCTCGTACCATTTGGTGTGCTACGTAGGTCGCCAGCGAGTAGTAACCGAGGTCGGCGAGCCACTACAGACGACAACGATCTGGTAACCGCATCGAAAGAAGATCTCGGTACGGGCTGCTCGGCCCACGGCAGCGTCTTGAGCGTTGCCTCGGACGGCTCTTTGGCCAAGAAGTGACCCTTTGTGAGTGCGTCCATGAGACGCACAAAGCGGTCGACGTCCTCCACGACCGTCGTCGACGGCGAGATCGTGTCGCACGACTTGGTACCGTTGAAGATGAGCAAGTTTGCCACGAGCTCGGTGGCCGCCTCGTCGTAGGCCGCCGAGTAGGGCACTACAAGCGCATGAGTCGCTAGTGAAGATATGGAAGAGCGTTGCACATGTGAGGTCGTCGCCGTCGCGCGTGCGCAGCAACGGGCGCCGGCTAAACGTGCTACACGCGAGGCCATGAGCGAACAGATGCAGTCGCGTGAGCCTACGCGCGGGAAGCCTCCTTGGCCTTGAGCGGGCGGAGCACGTGGAACTGGTCAATGCGCGCCTTGAGCTTGGACTTGGCAGCCGCCTTCATTTCGATCACGAGGCGGACAAACGCTGCGTCGACGACCGTGCACACAGCCGCGCGCTCGGTGGCGCTGAGGGCGCCGAGCCACTGCAGTACGCGGCTGCGCTCTGGGGATGGCCGCCGCAAGGCCATGCGCGCCCGCCCTTCGGATGCGAAGAAGGCGGTGGCCTCGGCCAGTGCGTCGAGGAGCTGGTCCCGGTCCCGAGCGTCGCCCATCGTGGATGCGGCCTTTATCGACTAAACCAGCCAATCGGCGCCGCGCAAGGACTAGACACGGATATAGTGTTACCCAGCGGTCGACTGCCGGGCCAAGGCGCGACGCTCGCCGCGCTGTGCAGCTTGCAACGCTCTTACCAGCGTGTGCGTGTTCCAGGTTCCTCACTGCGCGGTCTCACCACGCGGTGCAGCCTCGTGCATGATCACACTCACACTATTTAGCGGACGCGATCTCAACGGGTGGATCTTCCCAATAAATCTGAGGAGCATGGCACAGCTCGTGGCCTTTGATGCAGAGGTCCTGGACCGCGAAGCGACGACGCGCACCATGGAGCAGCTGGTTCGGACGATCGACGAGCTATGTGGAGCATGCTACGGCCCCCGCGGGCGGTAAGCGCGCGGGACGCTATCGACTGCATGACGATCCTCGATTGATTGCTGCTAGCTGCATCATGCTCCAAGCCAACGAGCGCTGCGGCGACGCCATCACGATCACGTCCACTGCAGCGCGTATTTTGGAGCGCTCCAAGTTGATGCGTGACATGCAAAAGGACATTGCGCTCAAGTTCTCGGTTGTAGCGTGGCCACGTCATCGCCCGTCGCGACCTTGTACTGCCAGCTTCTCATGAGCCACGTAGGCTGCTTCTCCTTACGTACTCTATCGACCTTGCAGCGTGCTGTAGACGAAGCAGTTCAAGGACCACGGTCTTTTCGCAGCGCTCTTCTCGTCCACGTACGCATCGGCTTCTTGGCGCTTGCTCAGCCGTGCTGCGTAGCTTGCTGCGCGAGGCCCTGGCGTCGCTCCGCGACATTCCTCGACCCCAAATCATCCAAGGCAAATACTGCATATGCCTTCTCTTCCCACCATCATCATGCGTTCTCTCGTAGGCTATACACTGGCGCTGCAGTGGTCGCAGCGCTTTCTTGGGGACCCGGCGCTTTGCATGAGCCGTCGTGAGGTCGAGTGGAGCAACGTCGACGCCATTGCGGCCGTGATCGCCGGCGTCTTGCGCCCCAAGTCACAGGTCGCAGCGCTGAGCAGCGCGCTCGAGCACCACGTTCGCCTCGTGCTGGAGGCGTTCGTGCACGTGTTTCAAGACGCGATCGACGAGCCGCACGAAGCTCGCCTTCTGCGCTTTCTCCGCCTCGACGACGTGAACCCGAATGCGTCGCGAGTACGTTTCGTTGCCTGCGCCCGCCTATGCGCACGGCGTAGGTGCATCTGAACACGCTGTTTCTGGCATTGCCACCGTCGTGGCCAATGCAGCCGCTTGCCGACGTCGTCGTCGCACTCTACAACATCTCGCTTCATGCGCCCGACGACCCGCTGGACGTGGCGCTTGTTGCGGAGAATGCCAACGTACGTTCTCGTCGATCCCATAGCCATGCGTAAGCTGCCCGACAGGCCATGGACGCGCTGAGAACCGAGGTCGACCGGGCGACGTGGCAGCGCCTCTCGACACACTTGGCGTCCCTGGGCGTCACGATGGTGCTCTCGCAAAAGAAGATCCCGCTGCCGCTCATGCACCTCCTCGCCGAGCGTCGCATACGGAGCGTCGAACGGCTCTCGATCACGCACATTGGTAGGCACATGCGATGGATGTGATGGATGCCGCATGCTCGTAGGCGCCGTGCAAGCACTCTCTGGTGCGGCGCTGCTCGGCGACTGGCACGGACGCGTGACCAGAGAGGACCTCGGGTACCTCGCGCATGTCCGCGTCGACGGCGCCCGCCTTGTGCTCTCCAATGACGGACGTGCCATTCCAAACACTGTCGACGGGCCGTCGATCCAGTCGCGGGCGCGGGCCGTCGTGACCTTTGGCTTGGCGTGCCCCGATGCCCATGCGTTCGACGAGCTCACGCATGCGATCCACGTATAGTATCCTGCGCGATTCCTCCAAGACGATCCGGACGTCCTTCTAGGCGGCAATGGATACGCTCACCAAGCTGCTGCATGCGCCGATCGTGTATGGTGGCGGCGGCCTCGTGGAGCTCGAGCTCGCCGAGCATCTCATGCGACGTGTCGATGGCCTATCGTCTCGTGGAATGGATCGCAGCGCAGGCGTCGAGGTCCGGCAGCTGCAGCGGGTGCTCAAGGCCTACATCCGCAGCCTCCAGGCGCTCGTGGCCCGGATGTACCCTGCCGGCGTCATGCCATCGGCCTTGCGGGCGCGACTGGCCGACGAGCTTGATGGAATGCTGCCGCCGCTTGGAAATACCGCGAAAACGAATTATAGCCAATCGGATGCGCCGGCAGAGGTGGACACCGCCTGTGATTGGCCAATAAGGGTTGAAGGGCTCATTTTGGATTTCGGGTCGTCGAAATTGGCCGCGCTCTCGACCGGCGTCTCGACCGCGACGACGCTCCTCCGCCTGGACGCAGCCATCCTAAGTGCTTCGTAATACATGAGCCTCTCGAGCGACGAGGACGACGACCGCAGCCACTCGCTCGCGATGGAGGAGCTCCGCGTCGGCGAGCTCATCGCGTACCACTGCGCGGCCTTCGTCGCGGGCGACCCGCGCGGTCGGCGCGAGTCGATCGGTACGCAGCATGCCACATGACCATGACAAACTCATGGCATGGCGCTAGTCGTGCGCATTCGCAGCGACACCAAGCACGAGTACCCGATCAGCATTGTGAGCAACGACATGTACGTTCTCGACACCGGCGCGAGATGTGCAACATGCGCGTAGTCTGACGCAGGACTCGATGATCAAGCGCGTTCAGGACGCGGACGGCAACGCGATCGAGCGCCCGGAGGGCATGTGGCGCAAGCTCTACACGTTTACGATGTTTCCCGGGAAGCACCGCACGGCCCAGAACGCTAGTACGATTCTCAAGGCGGCAATGAAGAACGTACGGCGCGCATGACTGCAGCACCCGGTCCCATCAAGATGCGTAGGTCATCAAGGACTCATATGCAGCGGTCTACGGCGAGAAGCCTGCAAAGGAAGCCAAGCGCGAGAAGCCCAAGAAGAACCAAGCGCCCGAGACACCCAACATTAGCAAGTTCTTCAAGGCCTTAAGACGACACACAAGGACGTCGCCGTCGTGCCTCCATCGAAGATTGCGACCAAGACTATCATTTCCACGCCGTCCACGCCGTCCACGCCCGCGAAGAAGGCTGCCAAGACGCTAGACGCGTTGGCCGACGACTTTTTCAAGAGCGACGCCAGTCAAGCCCAAGAAGACCACCGAAGTGCTCTTTACGATGGATGACCTCATTGCATCCGGGCAGTCAAGCAGTCGCGTTCGATCGTCCCAAGACAGCAGCCCTTGCCCACCCCGCCAGCTGCCTCGACCGCCGATGAAGAAGCCCGAGCACAAGCCAGCGCTCGTGAACATTGATGACTCGCCGCCGGTCAAGACAAGCAGAAAGCGAGTCTCTGACGAGGCGCCGCCTGCCAAGAGAAAATTCAACTCGTATCTGGAGCCCGAGCCGGAAACGATCCACGCCAACGACGACGGCTGGGAGATTCCCAAGAAGAGAACGCAGGGCTCGTCAACGAGTGTGCTCGAAGTGATTGGCAAAGCTCCTCGTCCTTTGGGCGCAAACCTGCGGCAGCTACCACCGTCGGGCGCAAGCAAGCGTACATCGTCCACGTCGATTTCGGAAACCTCGTTTTATACCGCGTCGCCTGCCAAGCGCGTGGGTTCGAGTCCAGCGAAGACGAGTCCTAAGACGAAACAACTATTCAACTTTGTCGAGAAGCATGAGCAGGAAGAGGACGACGAGAAGGCGTCGAAAAGCCCAGTGACAAAGCACAAGTGGCTGCAGCGGCGAGGCCAGACGGCGAGTGCACGCGCTAATGCCAAGGTATGTGACGTCAGATCGTGTGCTGCATCTGACTGACGCTTGTGCGTAGCAATCGACGATGACATCGCACTTCCAACCGCGGTCCTAGAGTAAGCCTTCAGAATTATGTATGAGCTCTGACCAAGACCACGATCAATCTTGGGCTGTTGTTTCGATTTGCGACGGAAGGCCGTAGAGCAGTGCAGGGATGTCCTGCTATCGATGGAGATGCTTCTTGGAACTCCTCATGGTCGCACTGCAATCTCCGATGGAACGACGCACCTCGCCACTGCTGGGTGGTTGGAGCGTAAGCAACCTGAGGCTCGAGTTGATGTAATTGCACTAGAGAGCTGCGGGGCAGTGCTGTAGAGGCAGAGAGCAGTACTCAAGGGCGCTCAGATCCTATTTCCAGGCGAGGGCGATGCGCGATGCATGAGGAAAGCTCCTGCGGATCCTCTGCGCGTCCTGGTTGGAGTGAGTCTTTGTAATGTACAGTGTACTGTTTTCGGAGGTGGACTCGAAGCGTGTTGCGACTGACGGCTGCGGCGAGGCTTCTAGGCGTCGCGGAGGCGAGGCTGGGGTGAGGTGGCGCCAGGCGTGCTTCATGTGAACGAGACACATCGCGCTCTCCGTTTCGTTATTACCAACCTCGACGCAGTAGTGTGTATGCGCCCGATCTCCTGCCGATCATGTGCGATTGTGCGTTGGGACCTTACTCTCGCACGTCGCGATGCCACGTCATGTTCGAATTCAGAGCCAGTGCCCAAATGGTATACAAAAATAAGTCATCGCTACAATATTAACAGCTGCAACTAAAGTTAGTCTTCGGACTGCAGCAATTCGAGCTTGGCTTGGTGGAGCATCTCGACGAGGCGAGCGCTGGACGGGCGGAGGGCAGGGTCGAACTGGAGGCAGGCCTTGGACACCTGCAGGATGCACGGCGGGCACGTCGGCGAGAACGTCGGGCGCAACTCGCCGCGCGCGACCTTGACGACAATCGACATGTCGGGGGCACCGCCGGCCTTGGAGCTCTTCTGGTCCTCGAACGGAATCTCACGCGTGTCGAGCTCGGAGAGGACGACGCCAAACGAGTAGACATCCGCCATCTCCGAGTAGATGTCGCCGAGCATGACCTCGGGCGCCGTCCAGCGCACCGTACCGACACCGGCCGTCAGCGTCTCTTCGTAGCTGCGGTTGCGGCTCAAGCCAAAATCCGAGAGCTTGGCGACCATGTTGGACGTGAGCAAGACGTTCTTGGACTTGAGATCGCGGTGGATGAGCTTGGGCGTGAGGCTGTGGAGGTACGCGAGGGCTTCGGCCGTGTCGATCGCGATGTTGATCTTCTGCTTCTTCCACGTGAGGTTGATCTTGGTGTTCTCCAAGAGCGTGCGGACGTCACCGCCGTCCATAAACTCCGTGATGGCCGAGAGGTCGTAGCCTGACGTCCACGTCGCGCCGATGAACTCGACGATCTTCGGGTGGCTGAGACGGCCCATGGTCTGAATCTCCTTGGAAAAGAGAACGGCTTCTTCGTCGCCCTCGATCATGCGCTTGATGGCCACGGGCTGGCCGTGGTAGTGACCAAGCCACACGACGCCGAACGCACCGCGCGAGATTGCACGCGTCAAGAGCACTTCGTTGTGGTCAATGCGGTACTGCTGGAGCTCCGGGAAGAGGTTGTCGGTCGGGTCCGCGACCGGCGCTTGGCCGCCGCGGCCACTCTTGTCGGCGCCACCACGGCCACTCTTGTCGGCGCGCGGGCCCGTGCCGAGGCCGTTGCCCGTGTTCTGGCGAGGCAGCGTGCCAGTGCGGCCGTTTGAGTTGAGCGACGTCGGGTTGACGTAGTGGTCCGGCAGCCGGTCCTTCTTGTTGCGGCACGACCGCAGGATGAAGTAGGCGGCGACCGCGGCGACGACGACGACGACCACGATGACGACGATGATCGTGGTGTCCGACATGGTAAATGCTCAAATGACGCTGGCTTTTGGCCATCAATTGACTTTGGTGAGGTATGCCCATACAAATCTCGACATCAACATGTAACTCAATTACTCTCTCCCAGCTCGACCAATCGTTGAGTTTGAGTGGCAGATGTTTTCGAAGGGGCCAATGAAACGCGACCAATTAAAAAGGACGACGTGCACAACCGCGTGGGCGGCATACTGAAACCAAGACAGTCGGTCGAAGCCGTGCGGTTGTGGCCGCGGATTTAAATTTCGCGGTCACAACCGCGCGGCTTGGGTCGCAGATCGTTGAGCCGGATGCGTAAACTCTCTCGAGTGGGCTGCGTGAAGGCGATTGACAGCGTCTGTTGGCGGCTGCTCGTACGCTGTGCGGTCGCCAAGCTCGAGGCGTCGACGACAAATCAGTGGTCGCCGGCCAAGTGGCTTCGGTGTTGCGTCGGGACGTAGGTGCAATCTGGGTACGACGAGCCAATCAGTGGCGGGTGACGACAACACATCCTGGTCCCTGTCTCTCACGACTGTAAACTGTGGCGGGTTGTCGTGTGCAGTTCGTTCTCTGGTGGCGAGGCTACTTGGTGGCATCATCTTCGTCATCCTCGTCATCATCTCAACGTTGCAGCGGATCGTTGCCATTGACCAGCTGCGTACATACTTGCACAAAGTCGCCAGGGTATGCTGCCAAGCAAAGATCTTATTTCAAGCAATACATTGCGTGTTTAAAGTCCCATCTACGAGGCCGCCGCCTTGGTGTCGTCGTCGACGGCCGACTCGGCGCGCGTCGCGAGCGTGTAGCGCGACGGCACGGCGGTAAAGTACTTGGCCATCGCGGTGCGGAACCGCTTCGTGTACTGCTTGGGGTTGAGGACGGTGATCTCGCCTTCGTCCTGGAGCAGCCGCTTGCCATGGTGCTCGAGGCGCTTGAGAAAGTCGTACTTGGCAATGTAGTCGATGATGCCAGCAACGATTTCTTGCTTGTCGTGGTCGTAGCCGACGAGGAGCGAGTAGTCGGTCACGTCCTGGCTCGCGAGGAACGCCGTGTCGTGGAAGATGGCGGATTTGAGGAGACCCATCGCCGACTCTTGCATCGGCAGCGGAATCCCTTTCGTCATCTTGACAAAGTTGCGGTCCCACAGCACTTGGTGGTCCGTGTGCTCCATGAACCGGCCTTCGAGCTTGCCCTTGAGGTCAAAGAGGTGGTCCACTTGCCGTCCGTACACGAGGTTTTCCATGACGAGCAAGCACAGCGCCGTCTCGGTCGTCTCCTACGCCATCCTCCATCATCTCGTCTATCAAGTGGCATCTCGCACCGTCATCGTGATGCGGTAGACGCCGACAATCTTGCCCAGCATGCTCGGCAAGTTCTCTTCGATCGACGTGGCCATGTACTCAAAGTAGCTCGAGGCCATGTTGAGAAACATCGTGAGCTGATTGGACGGAATGACTTTGCAGATGAAGCGCTGGTCCTATACACATGTATTGTAGGAGGGCCTTCTTGATACATTGAAAGAAACAGTAGTACCTTGGTGCGCATAAAGCCGGCACCCGACTTGCCGCCGCTCGCGTTCCAGTGCTCGCACTGACACATCGACTCGATGTACTTGCGTTCGTCCTTGTAGAGCAGCTGCCGGAGCGCGTAAAACTGCGACGCGTAGTACGACTTGCAGCTAAACTTGGTCGCGGCCTGAAACTCGTTCTCGTCCACAAAGAGGTGGTCGACGTTCGAGCGCTTGTCCGACTTGAGCGCGCGGAGCATGCCGCCGCCATTCGAGTCGAGGCACAGCAGCACGGGCGGGTCTTGCTTGGCAAACCACTCGTTGAGCTGCTGGCTGTACTCTTTCGAGCAGAGCGAGTACGCGACCGCCGACGTCGGCTGGCTGGCGTTGACGAGCACGACGGTTTGGTCCATACCCCGCGGCAAGCTCGGGTGCCAGCTCAGGATGCTTTTGGGTAGCACGAAGAGGTGCGACTGGTCCCCCGACGACGTGCTCGACTTTTTTAAAAGCGCGTTCGACCCGACGACTTGGGTCCGGTTGAGCGACTGCGACGAGAGCGTGGACCCGTCGTGACTGCCTTCGATGTCGACCATGTAGTTCAAGTCGTCTGGGAACGCCACGTCCGGACCGTACGTCGAGAGGATGCTGCTGACGCTATTGGCGGCCATGCCGCCGTCCGTCGTGAGACGCGACACGAAATCGCGCTGCCCGGCCGCCGAGTCGATCGGCGGTCGGTGAATCTCCATCGGCGGTGACTTGTGCTGACTCGCAAACGCGTGCGGGGGCGGCAGTGGAATGCCAAAGGCCGACGACGGCGCTGGCTCTTGCTGCAGTTGCGTCGACAGAATATCAAACCACTGCATCGGCAGCGTCATCGGCGGCGGGTCGTCGACGACTTCGGTTTGCTTGAACGTCACTTTGTTCGAGGCTTGGCGCAATTCGACGCAGAAGCGCGCCGCGCGCTCGTACGCCTTGCGGAAGAGCGCGTGCTTGGCAAAGACGTCGGCCGGCGGCTGCCGGCGCACCTGCGTCGTGTACATAATGTGCCAATGCCGCGCAATCTGGCCCATGTTTTCAATCTCCTGGAGCCGCTCCAACGGCCACGCGTGCGAGTCCAAGTGCTTCTTCTCGCCAATCGCGACGAGGTCGTCGAGCGTCGCCTGCACCTTGGTGAGCGTCACGTCCAAGACGCTGTTGGCGACGAGCACGAGCTCCTCAATGTCGGTCGCATCGATGCTGCAGCGCTGGTCGTCGACGTCGTAGAGCCCGGGACGCATCGCCACGTGCAGCACCGGGTGGATCGGCTCGACCGATATGCACACAATCACGTCGGCGCACGCAAAGTACCGGAGTAAACTCGGGTCCCGGGCGTGCGGGAGGTGCGGGAAGAAGCGCGCGTCGTGCGAGAGTGGCTGCAGATACAAGAGGTCTTCGAGGTACTTGCCAAACGAGTAGTGGAGCATCTCGGGCGGCACGGCCGTGTAGATCGGCGACGGCGACGCTTCGGTCGCGACCCACATGAGCGGCGTCGGACTCTGCACGACGCGCGTCGCAAAGTTGAACATCTCGAGCAGCTCTTGGCCCGGGCCCCGCGCCTTGCCCTTCGTAGTCGTCGGCGACACGGAAATGAGCACGCGCCCCAGGTCATGCGAGAACGAGAGCCGCTGCGTTTTAAACGCCGTTTTGAACGGCGTCGACGCAGACTCAAAGCAGTACAAGTGCAGAAACTGCCCGAGCGTGCAGTCGGCGTCCGTGTAGAACGCAATCTCCATGAGCTCGGACGGCGACGGACTCTGGTCGTCGAGGCGGCTCCAGCACGCCGAGAGCACGAGCGTGTCCCGGTTGGCGCCGTGCACGTCACTCGGGCACCGGCACGCGCTAATGAGGACGGGCTTCTTGACCATGCGGCCGGACTCGGAGCTCCGTCGGCGGCGCGACACGAGGTTGTCCATGCCGGTGGCAATGCCGTTCGTGCGGCGACTCGAGAGCCGCTTGCAATGGCGGCAGCGCATCTGCGACTCCTTGAGCGCCGCGCGGAGCGAGAGCGAGTGGTCGTTGAGCGCCAAGTACATCGAGCTCGACGCGTGGAACCACTCGTGTCGGAAGTCGGCCGTGACCTCGACCGGCGGCACGAGCCCGGACGTTGCGAGCACCACGGTCTGGAGTCGCACGTGGTACGCCGTTCGGACAACGTTGCGCAAGATCGAGCGAACTTCCTTGAGCACGTTTTCAGCGGCGCCCCGGAGCGCGATCGTGCAGCCCTTGGCGTACGCGCCGCCTTCAAACACGATGCACTGTTTCTTGGTGCGCTTGCGGGCGATGGGCGCGAGGTGCTTGGCGCCCCGGAGCGCCGTCGTCACGTGCGTCGTCGCGAGGTGGCTCGGCAGCACACTGACGTCGTCGGCGTGCATCTTGGGCACTTCGCTGCTCCAAACGCGGAACCGATCGCACGTTCCGAGAACGGACGCACCAAATAGCTTGTCGACGTGGTCGTACGACGTAAGGAGCGCGGCACCCGTGACGAGCGAGAGCCGCTCGAGGTCCGCGCGCTTGAGGTTCTTGACAATGACGATGCCGCTGCTCGCCAAGAGCTCTTCGGCGACCCGGTGCACGTGGCCTTGGAAGAGCACAATGTCGGGGCGCAGCGTTCGAATCTTCTCGACCGCGATGCGCATGTACTCGGTTTCTTGGCCCGCTACACTCTCGAGGCTCGAGAGCTTCTCCTTCTCGCGCTGGTAGTCGAGCGCCGACGCGACGAGAAGCAGCCGCGGCGTGTCGATCCACTGGCGCATCGACTTGCGCGCGACCGCCTTGTGGCAGAGCACGCCGTGCACGAAGAAGCTGTCGCTGACGTGGCCGCCTGGAAAGCACTTGATGCGCAGATAGTGCAAAATGTCGAGCGAGTCGCCAACGTCGATCGTGGCCGCGGCGCGTGTCGCAAACTCGAAAATACGGTCCACAAACCGACTCTGCTCGAGGTACGGCAGCTGCGTGAGCACCGGCGAGGCCTCCCACAGCTGTAAAATACGCTCGTGCAGCCACTGGTCTGCGTCCGACTTCATGGCCGCCTTGGTCGCAGCGACCGCGTCCAAGAGCCCGGGCACGTCCGCGTCCAGTTGGCACGCATGGCCGAGGTGGATGCTGGGTGTCAACGAGAGCAGCGACGCCGACGAGCTCGTGTGATGCAGGAGCGCCGGTGTCGTTGTCACGGGCGGCGCCAGCGACGTCGACGGCAACGACCGGTCGACCGACGACAGCATGAGCGCCTCGACCATGAGCTCGGTCGCTGACCGCGTGCTGCGGACGACGTTCGTCGGTTGACGATACGTGTAGAGATCATCGCGGCTGTTGGAGCGCGGGCGCTGGCCCTCCGAGTGGTTGCTGGACACGGCGAGGTACGACGCCTGCGATTTGCGCACGATCGCCGAGAGACTCGGCTCGCTCTCGGCGCGCCGGCGCAGTGGCACGGCAAACGCCGACTCGTTGCTGACGTTGGCCACGATGGGCGCCGGCACCGCCATCGGCACCAGTTGGACGCGCGGAAACATCGAAAAGAGCTGCACGTCGACCTTGCTCTTCTCCAAATTCGAGGTCGCGTCGTCGACGAGCGAGCTGGCGGCCGTGGCCTCGTGTGCGCGGCCGGAGCTGTCGAGCGCGCGGGCGGCCAATGGAGGGGTGCGGTCGTCGGCGACGTCGAG